GGTGAGACCCTGGTTTCAGGACTCCGACTCGGAGGGTGGGTTAGCTTACACATATGCGCGGCGAGAGGAACAGTGGAGAGGAACGCCGTGCGATGCCCGAGGGGGCGCTGGCCTGGCAGCTTAGTGCATAGATAACGGGCTGGAGGTGGATGCACGTAGATGGATTAATTAGTTAATTGTTGGCGCCCTGAACATGGACAGAATTCGGGGCTTCGAGAAAATGGGCAGGGGATGCACCTATATGGTGGACAGCAGTCGTAATGGAAGGAAGAGTGAAAACAGCCTAGGCTGGTGTAGCATGCCTCGATAATCTAAAATGCACGTCCCGACCCTGGGCCTGAGGCTAAGCCAACCTTGAGCGAAGCTTGAGGCCCGAAGATTCGACCGACGGCGACAGGGTCTATTACCACGTCCGCAGATCAACAATCCTGCGCCCGCGCTCCCGCTCCATCGCGTCCTTGCTGCGCAGCCCCGAGCCCTTTTCCATGCGCCTACCGCGCCCGCCAACACCGTCGCCCATCGCGAGCGGCGCATTACCCGCATGCAGCATCCTAAACAGCGCCTTGATCACATTCAGCGGCGTCCTGCTCCCCCACACCTTGGCGCTGACGTCCTTGATGCCCGCGGCCTTGAGCACCTGGTGCACGTTCGGGTTGCACTGGAGCCCGAAGCCGACCGGGCGCGGGCGGAGGAGAATGCGCGTGCCGCCGAGCTTGGCCTCCATGTCCGTCCAGATCGTGCGGTCCTCGAAGCGCTCGACGTAGTCCATGTTGCGGACGGCCTCGGCGAGCGCCTTCTCCGCGGCGCGCGGGGCCTCCTCGTCCTTGCCCTCGCCGAAGCCGACGAGGCCGTTGCCGTCGCCGACGACGATGAGGGTGTACATGCGGTGGATCTTGCCCTTGCCTGTCTGCTGGGTGACGCGGCGGACGATGAGCGGGAAGCGGTAGAGCCGGTTGATGAGGTTCTGCGGGACGTCGGAGGTGAGGAGGCGCTGCTGGTCTTCTTCGTCTGCTTCTTTCTCCTCCTTTCCTGGTCTTGTGCCCTTGGCTTTGCTTGGGCCTTCTGCATCGAGCATGGCGTGGTATATGTCCATAATTTTGGGCTCGTTGCGGAGGACGACGCGGTTGCGGTAGGGCGTTCGCTTAGTCGGCGCAAAGGTCTGGGCGTCGAAGGAGTCGAGGAGCGGGTCTTCGACGGAGAGGTCTGGGAAGCCGCCGAACTCCTTCTTGAAGTTTTTCAGGGCATGTTGGTCCGGCTGACTCTGCGAGACACTTTGAGGCTGGTCTGGCGAAGAGGATATGGAGTCAGAGGCAGCGCCAGAGGATGAGGGTGGTTCCTGAGTAGCATAGCTCCTAGCAAGCGCGCGACGACACAATGGTAGTGCTAGCTGTGGCCGGCGTGGGCTGGCAAGAGCGCGAATGGCGGGGGCGAGGCGGGGCTGGAGCTTGTTCATCGTCGGACGCGTCGTGCAGAAACTCGCGGGTGCACCAAATTGTTCGCTACTGGCTCCGGTGTTGACGTCTGCTTGGTGGACCTGCCCAATTAGGATGGACTGCCCCTGCCCGCGATCTCTTCAATGGATGACGCATCCCAGCACTCGTTGGCCGCAGAACTCGAGGGCACGGACCTCTCCAATCTCTACGAGGCCATAGACAGAGACGCGTGGGTAACAGTAATATCAGACTTGTTGATGAGTTGACACGTCTTGACAGCGTACATGGGCTCAATCTGACCGTGCCAGAGGATGCAAAGGCTATCATCAAGCCATGGAACGAACGCGATGATACCACGAGATACATCGAGTCTTCTGTAGACGATGAGGTGAGATGCTTGCTATATCCGAGTGACCTGAAGTGGCTAACACTTCTCTCGAGGTCATCATACACGTCCCATTCACCCAAAGTGTCCGAGTAAAGGCCATACTGCTCAAGATCGGTACGTGAAACCAGCTATCACCAGTGCGCTGACGACCCATTGCTACGCGACAGGCAGAGGGGAGTATGCACCTCGCCGAATGCGCGTATATGCCAACCACCCAAACATAGTCGGCTTTGAGGACGTCGAGAGCACCAAGTCGCAGCTCAATATTGCCCTTCTCGAGGGAGAGACGGGCGTGGTCGAGTACCCCGTCCGTGTGGCCTCGCTGACGAGCATATCGTCGCTGACTCTGTACTTTGTGCGTCACCTGTCTTCTATTCCTTTATAACAAAGCTAATCGAAATCAGAGCCATACCGTAGGAGGAGAGCAAGTGCGGATGTATTATGTTGGGTTCAAGGGCGACGTGAAGACACCTAGACCAGAGGCGACACAGAAGATAGAGATCCCTGCCGCGAATGCGGGAGATGCGCCTGTTGTGGACAAGGCAGCTGAGAGAGCGGCTGCACGGCAGAGTACGGCAAGGTAGTCACATAATATATCAGAGTCAATATCCATCCGTATGTTAGTGGTATGTATGGAGGCCATGGCAGAGGACGAGACGCTTTAGGGGCTTTACTGCCAAATGAAGGGGGCGTGGGAATGACCGAGCGCGTCTGTTTCTGCGGTTGAACGTGTTGTGTTCTTTACCATGGACATTGTCAGTCTCTCCCTCCGTAATTCTGCTACAAATTTACTAACAAATATTAAAGGAAATCAGCCCAGTCGTCGAGTGGCTCGCCCTCTTCCAGCCCCAGAACGTCCTTCCATGGCGCGTCCACGATGTCGAGGACCGCCGCGCCCGCATGACCGACGTCCTCCTCTTTGACGTCCTCCTCATCCGCGGCGGCATCCATCAACCAGACTTGGTCTACCCCCCGCGCGACGCAGACGGCCTCGCGCGCCTCCTCGAGGCCATCCACCACTCCACCTACGACTCCCTCAAGAAGGACTGTCTCGTCTACATCCTCCTCAAGTGGTACCAGGACGGCAGGGAGACGCCCTTTTACGAGCAAAAGTGCATTCCGCCACAGTTTTCCCTCCTCGCCGACGCGTATTGGTATCTGGACGCTGGTGTCAATGTCGCGGTGCGTCCTTCCTTTGTTCTTCCCTTCAGCGCCACGAACTAATGGGGACAATTTGCAGAAAGCGGTCTCGATACTCTGCGACGCCCGCCTCAACCGCGACTACTCTTCCAAGATCCTCCAGGCGCTCGCCCTCGCGCCCAATTCTTCCCCGCTCATCGTCAAGTACGTGCGCACCGCCAAGCCCCAGCTCACAGAGCCGGACGACATCGAGCTCTACACGCTCGCGCTCGCGGAAACAAGTCTCCCGGAAGCATGGAGGTACCAGCGCTCGTTCCCGGAGCGCAGCGAGACGCGACAGCGCCTCATACGCAAAATCATAGGATGGTGTCTATCTCGTGCGTACCCATCCTCCTCCCGCCCAGCCGCTCACTCAACCACCACATTATCCACATATACAGCTACAATCCGCGGCGACGCCCTCGCCCTCTTCGTCGCCCTCGCCCTCACAGAATACGAACAATCCGAGCTACACGCCTTCGCGCGCGCCCCGCCCCCCGCATCCACCACGTCCCTCTCCCCCGCGTCCGGCATCCCGCCCCAGTCCCTCGCGGCGCTGCACGACCTCGTCGTCCTCCGCCTCGTGCAGGCCGGCAGCTTCGCAGCCGCCGTGCGGCTCGACCGCGAGCTCGCCGCGTCCGTCCACGGCGCGTCGTCGCGTGCAGGCGGGGCCGTTGCGCGCGCGGCGGAGGAGCGCAGGCGGATGCTGGATGAGGTGCTAGGAACGCTTCCGCCCGTGGAGCGCAGGCTCGTCGAGGCGGACGCCGCCGCCGCCGCGAGCGTGTTGGCGGCGCAGAGCAGCGGGCCTGTGCTCCCGGCTGCGTTGCCGCAGCCGCAGCCGGCGAGCCAGGATCTGAGCATGTCGATGTCGATGTCGTGGGAGCATGTGCCGCCGCCGAGCGCCGCGGCGGCCGTGTCTGTCAGCGCCAACGCTAGTGCCAGTGCCAGTGCTAGTGCCAGTGCACGTGCGAGCCCGCTCACGATCATCAGCCAGCCGCTCGCGCCGCCGCGGGAGCGCAACCCGTTGAACGGGTCTACGTCCTCGTTTGCGTCGCTCTCCGCGTCTGCCGCTAAAGGCCCGCGAAACCCGCAAGAGCTGTTCGCGCCCCCACGCGCATCCCCATCGCCGGGCTCCAAATCCGTCTCTGCGTCGCCGGCGTTCGGAGCCAGCGCGAACCTCGGGTCGAGCACACGTTCGAATGCGAACGCGAACGCGAACGGCGGCGGCGGTGCGCCCGCGTTCGCCGCGTTTTCCCAAAACTTTGGGCAGAGCATCTCAGCGTCCGGCTCGTCGTCCATGCGGCCGTCTGCGTCTGCGTCTGCGTCTGCGTCTGCGTCTGGCGCGCCGTCTATCTCCGCGCCGCCCGTGGGGCCCTCGGGGCTCAAGCTCTCGTTCGCGAAGCCGTCGTTGAGCGCGAGCACGTCCTCGTCGTTTTTCAATATCGGGAACAACAACAGTCTCAGTGCGAGCGCGAACGGTTTCAGTTATGGGGGAGGAGGAGGTGGTGGAGGAGGCGGACCGAGGCCGGCGTCGACGTCGTTGTTCTTCGATAAGCTCTCGGGGAGGCAGCCGCCGAATGCGTTTTATGCTGGCGTTGGCGCTGGTGCTGGGAGGTCGGCGTCGCCTGCGGGGTCGTCGGCGTCGGCGAACATGAATGGAAATAGGAATGGTGGGGATGGGGATGGGAATGGGAAGGGGTACACGGAGTTTTCGGTGCCGCTTAGTGGGAGCGTGAGTCCGACTCGTGATGGGGGGCAGGATGATGTCGCGATGGGCGAGGGCCGCGATGGGGAGGGCGATAGCGAGATGGACGACGAGGAAAGTCGAGGGGGGGTTCAGAAGGGCGCAGGAGAGGCGGATAAGAGTCTCTCTTTCTCGGTGTTTGGGGGTGCGCCGATGGTTGCTCAGCAGCAGCAACAGCGGGCGTCGCCAGGGCGCGCGAAGAAGACGCGCAAGTCTACAGGGGAGAGGAGGGGAAAGACGACGGAGAAAGAAAGGGACGGGGGAAGGGAAAAAGACAAGGAGAAGGAGAAGGAGAAGAAGCAAAAACCGCGCGTACGCGCTCCGCCCGGCGCGTTCTTCCCCGACGCCGACGACCACGACCACGGTGACCTCGACCTCGACCCAAGCGACCCAGAGTCCCCGGCTGCCGCCGCACGCGCGAGACGGAGCCGCGAGCGCTCTTCCCGCGCCAACACTCCGGCTGCGCTGCCTCTTGCGCCACCGGGGTCGACACCCGGTCGTCCCACCCGGGGCGCGCGCGGCGAGCTGCGCGGGGGTGATCTCAAGAAGAGTATACCTGGCTCGCTGTTTGATGTCGACGAGCAGGACGACGATGAGCACGAACGCGGGTGGGGCGGTGTAGGTGCAGGTGCAGGCTCCGACTTGACTGACCTGAGCGCTGGAGAAGGCGAAGGCGAAGACGCGGACGAAGTTCCGCCGCTCCCGGGTGCCGGCGCCGGCGCCGGGCATGGGCGTCGCGTGTCGCGCAGACGCTCTTCCGCGTCGTCCAACGCACGGACTTCTCTAGGCAGCAGCAGCGCCGGAGGAGGGACCGACGACGTCCCGATGCCCACGGGAACAGGCAAGAAACCCGCACGACGATCCTCGCGGCTCTCGGCCGCATCGAGCGTCGAGAGCCTGGGCATGTCGCCCGAGCCCGCGAGCCCCGTGAGGCAGCGGCACTCGCTGGGGGTGCAGCCGCCGATGCCGCAGTCGGAGAGGAAGAGGAAGAGCGCGCGGACGAGCTCGGCGTCGGGGATGCCGCCGACGCCGGGGCGGGCGACGAGGAGCAGTACGAAGAAGCGGTGATTTACTGTGTGCGTGTGCTCTTCGGTTGCTCGGAGCGGCGGCTGGGGAACCCGGAGGGGAGGTTATCATAGACACCATACATTGCGGATCTCTGCATACGTACGGGCAGTATACGATCCTGTAAACGCGTCGATAACATGACAGTATCATTTAGGATGAGATGCATATAAGTAGGCAATGTGATACTCTTCTTTCAAGCTGTTTGCTATATGTTGTTCGCTCTATGCTCGATCGTTTCACACTACTGGATGGTTGTTCCACCAACTCATTATTGTACGATCTAGCACTAGGAAAGCATATTGACAAAGCATTCGAATCTATCTACCGTATATACGTACCCAGCTGCATCTCCCTCCTCTCATACATTCACCACGGGCCTCGGCGGCGGCGGAATCGCGCCTGCTCCCTCTGGTGATGACGAGGACGGAGACGCAGTGCGCACCTTGTCCCGCGGGACGCAGATCCACAGGCCGATGGTGAACGCCATCATCGCGACGACACTGCATACGCATAACGCTCAGTCAGCACACAGGCATGTGGCACACAAAGGGAAGACAAGTCGATAGGTAGCCACGCACATGGGCTGCAAACTCTCGATGCCCGCCTTGTTCGAGATGGCGCCCGTGATGAACGGGAACAGCGCGGAGCCTGCCTGTCCGAGACCCGCGATCCATCCGATTGAGCCTAGGATGATCGTGTTCGTTTGTCATACCGCGAGAACGACCATAAGATCAGCTTTCATTTTTCATATACAGGAGGTGCGACAGCCGGAGGAAGGGAGGGAGGGAGGGCTACGCACCTGTCAAGAGCGAGGGTGGGATGATCCGCCCGCAGACGTTCATCGCGATGGGGTACATGGGGCCGAGGAAGAAGCCGACAAAGGAGACTGCGATGGCATCGCCCACGAGCGAGTGCACGAGCCACACGACCAGCTCCAGCCTGCATATCGTGCCAAACAGAATGGTATGGCGCGAGGGAAGCAAAATAAGAAAAAAAGTTTGTTAGAATGGACATGAGTTGTCAGAGCTCCAGAGTGGGGGATACCACGCACCCGATGGCCAAGGCTGCGTAAATCACGAGTGCCTTGCGCTCGCCGATCTGAGACAAGCGCACAGCGAGACACGGAGGGCAAGAACAAGAGCGGTGGCCACGAGTACGAGTACGATCGACGTCGGCGACCACGTTGGCGTTGACGACAGTGACGGACAGAAAAAAAGATACGTTAGTGAGCGAAAGCTAGGATCGCGAGACGGACGGAAGTGCGAAGGACGGACCTTGTTGTTCGCCCATATGAGCCCCATGCGACCGAGCGTTAGACCTGTCGATCAGGCGGCAGAAATAGGCATTTAGCGTTGGTCTCGGAGCCCAGCGGGAACAAAAGCGCGGTGACAGCTGTGAGGCACTGACCTCCGAAAAAGCCCGTGGAGATGTATCCCGATGACGGGCCACCGTTGCGCTCGTTGATGACGTACGTCACTGTCCAGCCTGCAAAAGCCCTTTAGCATGTTCTCTACAGACAAAACCAACAGACAAAAAGACAAGGAACGGGAAGAAATAAGAGTTTGAGAGCGTACCTCCTACGGTGACCTCCACGCCGACGTAGACGAGGATGAACACAGCCATAAGATGCGTCTCCTTGAGCGTCATCACCTTGCGGAAGTGGCTCTTCTCGGTCTCGCTGCCCGAATCGTCATTTTTCTCTGACGGCTCGTCCAGGTGTCTGACCTGACCGATGGCGGCCAGGCATTCTGTAGATTAGGTGGTATGTCAGTACAAACCGAACTCGATCAACGATAATCGAGAAGGTTTAGCAGACCATCATGAGTCTTGAAGCGGAAGACAGCGGCGAGGATGATAGCATCCAGAAGCGCGACGCCGAAGGAAATGAGAAAGTGAAATGACCAGTGGGGGAGCTGAGCGAACTGTGTAGCAGCTAATGGGGATGCCAAGGCTCCTAAGCCATACGCAGCTGCATGAACAGAGCATGGTGAGCTGAGGAGTGGGAAATCGTCGGGGAATTGCACATACCGTGTAGGAACGACATCTTGGTGGACGAATTTGGGAGGTTGGACACGTAGCCGTTCGCTTGTGCATCCTATGTCTTTGGTTCAAGAAACTTGTTTTGCTGTGTAAGGTGAGGAAAACTTGCCTGTAGAGCCATGCCGACGCCATTAATGGCGTATCCGAGGACAAACGCGGGGAAAGGGAGTGCTGCTGATTCAATGGCGTACCCCACAAACTGGAAGCAAGCGCCTGGTCAAAAACGCATGACGTGGTCAGACGCAGAGCCGCCGGATGCTAATATTGACCACGGTACCAATGAAGATGGTCTGCAACGTGCAAGCCGCGTTATATCATGCCCGAGGAAACCTGCTACAAGACCGTGCTCACCTTTCCAAAACCGAAGCGTGGCTCGAGAAACATGTTGGCGATAGCGCCAGTGAGGAATCCCTTGCGGCCCGGCGAATGAGATGGCCACACTCTCAACGGCAAGGTACCATGGCTAACTTACCACGCACGCAAATACCCAAACCAAGGATACGATGGTATAGTTGACCTATATCAGAGTAGTCCAGCCAGCCAGCCAGCCGAGACAGCCAAATGCGACACGTACCCCATACACCTCCTGTATCCGTGGCAGCAGCGGGCCCGTACTTCCATCGTTCCATCCAGCCACCACCATCGCCCAGCAGCACGCAAAGAACTGCACATGCACGAGCCATCTATACCTGCTGCTCGTTGTCCCTGACGGAGGCGGGACCGCTAGAGCACCCGCCCTCTCCTCGAGGCTTGCATGTGCGATAGGCTTCTCGCCATTGTTGCTGCTAGTTGCTGCTAGGCCTGGCGTGTTCGACCCACAGCGCGTCGCAGGCTCGGACTCGACTATCGCTGGGGCTGGACTGGGAGACTTTTCGTTAATGGCCATCTCTTTCTGAGCTCTGGAGTTCTGAGGAATGTGGACGTCCTGAAGAAAGAGGACTTAGGTTCCGGAGCTCTGAAGAGGGAGATGGTTTGCCCCGCATAAGCTGTCAGTGAACTTGAAGGACCATGGTAGGTGGAAAATTGTCGGAGAAACTCGATGAGTCGAGGAATGCCTCCCTGAGAAATTTGAACGTGGTTCTCGTTCTTAGTCAGACCATAGGGGTGCCAAGAACCTGCCAAGGAGACCATTACTCCAGTGTACGAGGGATTTTGGGGATGGCCAGCTGCGCGATGAATAGAAAGAAAACATTTAGACTGATGGACATCAAATAATCGCGAGGCGTTAACGGCAACATTAAATCGCAGCTTGAAATTCGACATGGCCACAAGTAAATAGTGATGCCAACCGACTGACGAATTGAACGATGCAACACGATTCGGCTCTCAGGAAGGTCTGAACGGTATCTCGTTGACATGAGATGCCAACAAGCAGGCGAGTGGTCGGTATCACCAATTCTCTCCCTTTCATGTGCCTTCGATGCAGTTTTCAAGACGTTCGATGTCGTTTTTTTCTGCCTCTCTATTAGGTGACAATCATAATGACATGCTGCTGAACCGACGCTCTACATGAATAGGTCCTTCTGCTTACACAAACGCTGTCCCCGACGCCTACTATGCAATGATATTAACATCGTCACGCCCAAAGAACTACCCCCGGCCCCGAGTCTATTCTTCGCTATGTGTTACAAGTGTATCACTATCCGTATGCATCCCACTCGAAAACTGCAAAGGATTCGTGGCTCTTGTTCCAATCATTGCGAGATCTTGTTCGTGGTGCTTGCGCAGACTGATTATCATCCACGGACCTACCAAATATGAAAGAAACGAGCGTAAAGTGGAGCTGATGCTGTTCCAGACTGTGGACGGTATTGTATCCTTTTATCCGGGTACGGCCCCAGGTCAGCGAGTGGATGTTGAATGATATTGAGTGTACTTTTACCTGATTATTAAAAATGTTCACTGCGTCAAAGCAGCTAACAAGCAATGATATGAATGCCCTATATGTTACAGTCATTGCCATGGAGCTTTGAAACTTGGCAATAGAGGAACGACCAACACAAGAAAGTAGAGGAGGTTGTCACGAATGAGGATGGTCGCTATTCCCCTTGCCAACCTTATTGGAGCTTTGATTGTGGGATTTGGAGTGTGCTCTACAGCATAACGCAGGACCAATACACACAGGATGATTTCAAATCCAAGGGTGGCCGCGCAGGTAAGAGGAGCATGCCACGGTGCCAACCAGGCGGGTATGTTGACGATGCATAGTGGAAATCCCTGAATAAAAACATCCTCTTTGAATACGGTCGACGTTAGCTCCAGTTTGTCGCTCCTGCCATCGCTTATTGCTTGCACCATACCTGTGCTAGCTGACACAGACACTACACGAATAATGTTCGTAGCGATGCATATCGCCTGCATGAAAACGAAGCACAGAACGAGAAATATATGAAGCCTTTTCGACTTGCTAAAAAGGGCACGGACTCGCAAGAGCATCAACGCTTCATGCAGTCGTCAATACCGACACACGACCCAGAAACAGGACAAAAAGGGGGTCATACCTTGAAGTGTCATGACGTTGAAGGGAACGAATAGCTGGGACGCAGAGTATAGCGCGTAACCTCAAATGCCATTTCTGACAAAGGACGATCGCGAGTATAGCATAGAAGTCTATAACAGCGCAGACTCACCGGGCAGTTAGTGTTGAAGGTTGAGTTGGTAGCGGTTAAGCTGGTTGCTGACGATGGTAGTCGTTCGAGGTAGAGAGAAGACTTAGATGATATTCATGGTAGCGACTGTATATATATGACAGGAGCGTGTGAAGTCACTACCGTATTCGTAACTACTATGCAGTCCAAGTCCCACGGTAATGCAGGACGGCTACGTAAGCAGAACGTGGCCCTATGCGATGAACGCGGAGCCACACGAGTGCGTAAGCGCTTAAGGTACCGCTAGGATACTAAGCGCCTGGATAGACGTATGAAGGCGGTGTTTACTTGTAGACCTCTAGGAGGAACATCGCCGTACAGGAGGCTTCTGGATGAACCAATAAAACCGTAAAGGGTCGAATACTAGACGTAATTCTGACACCCCCCCTCGAATCGTATTCGCTTTACTGCTTGAGCAATGGCGTTTTGAAGAAAAGGGATATCTCACGA